GAGAATGACCGGCCCAAGGTCACCCAGCTGGCTTTGTGCCTAAGACAGGACTAGAATTCCTGGTCTCCCAGTTTCTAGCCTGATGCTTTAACCACTACACCAAACTGGCTTTCCTCATAAACATGGGTGCTATATATATCCAGATCTAAGTCCAAAATCTACAGGTTAATGCTGAAATATTATGACATTTATGCCTGAATGAATGAATGAATGAATGAATGAATGAATGAATATATATTCATATATATAAGAGTGAGCTACGCAATCTTTTCATAACTGGATAAGGGCGTTGAAAAATTCTGAGAACTGTGAATTTTTAAGAATAACTGCATTTTGTCCTGTGCATTGTAGAATGGGGAGCAGAATCTGGCAAGTCATGTCTTCTATCCTATGAATTAAATGAACTAAACCCCAAACATTTTGCAAGTGTGGAAGGGAAACAATGTTACAATGTTTTATAGATTTTTAAAACTGAAATTTATGGATATATCCAAAATTAAGACTAGAAGGTATTTTTAAAATCCGTATTTGAATTTGCAATGCTTATATGAAATGAGAACATAAAACATATTTAACATATTTCTTGAATATTTGCTGATAATTGTCTACCCTTTCGTGGTGCCTGGAGGCTGTAGGGGCCCGGATGGGGGACAACAGGCTTCAACTGAATCCTGGTAAGACAGAGTGGCTGTGGATACAGGGAGCCTCAAGATCTAGGAGCTTATCGACTCTGGTTCTAGATGGGATTCCACTACCCCAGACAGACCTGGTGTGTAATCTGGGGGTCCTCCTAGACTCACAACTCCTGCTTGAAGAGCAGGTGGCAGTCGTGGCTAGGAGGGCCTTCACACAGCTTCATGTTGTGCATCAGTTACGCCCCTTCCTGGATCAGGAGGCCCTTTGCACAGTCACTAATGCCCTGGTCACTTCCCGTTTGGATTACTGCAATGCACTCTACATAGGGCTACCCTTGAAGAATATTCGGAAGCTACAGCTGGCACAAAATGCAGTGGCAAGGACAATCTTGAATGCCCCTAGGATGGCGCATATAACACCTCTGTTATGTGAGCTGCGTTGGTTGCCGGTTTGCTTCTGGGTCCAATTCAAGGTGTTGGTTATCTCCTTTAAAGCCCTTCATGGCTCAGGACCAGGTTATCTGAGGAGCCATGTTGCCCCCATTATATCCGCCCGCCTCACTCGGCCTGGCAGAAGGGGCATGTTGTGGACCCCGCCAGTGAAGGAACTTTGGCTGGCAAGGTCTAGGAAGAGGGCCTTTTCTGCTGTGACCCCCGCCCTGTGGAACAGCTTGCCAGCTGAGGTATGGGCTGCCTCCACTCTCCTGGCCTCCTGCAAAGGTGTAAAAACATGACTATGCCAGATTGCCTGGGGGCCTGATGGGGGCTCACACTGCTGGAACTGGCTGGTGGGATGATCGATACTGCTCCCCCCATCATCTTAAACTGTATACTGGCTTTTATAGAATTGTTACTTGTATTTTTAATTCGGGATAGTTATATTTTTATTGTTTTGGATTTTAATTGTAAGCCATCCAGAGTCACCCTCTGGGGGACATGGGTAGTGTATACATTTAATAATAAATAAATACATAGAAATAATCATATAACAATGATAGCATAACAATATAATGATGATGACATTGATGTGGGAACAAATTATCTCATTTAGGATTAGAAAATAATGATATAATGCTTACGTTTCCTAGCTGGCTTCCTGTCAGACCATTCCTGGACCATAATTTGGTCACCTGGTCCTCCAATATAGTACTGATCTTCATAGGTTGAGTTGTCAGGAATGTCATAAGGATCCCATGGCTCACTCAAAGCAATCTTGGAACACAGCTTTGTCACTTGTTCAATCTGAAACATCACTGCATCTTTATAAAGATATATATATTCAAAAAATCTGAAAAAGTACGGAAAAGGGGGGAGGACCAAAAGTAAGTTTAAAATAGTCTTGTTCATACAATGTTATACAAGATAGAGGACAAATTTGGTTACTAAAAACTAGTGGACAGAAGCCTTGGATGTGACAAAACTGAAGAGAGTTTTGGATGTGACAAACTGAAGAGAGTAGACCTTAAGCCTGAACCATTTGTGTGTTTATCATATTTCAAAACAGTCAATTATATTAAAAAAAAAAAACTCCTTTTACACATTAGGGAGAAAGCTGTGCTAAAATTGTCTCATGTGCAAAACACTGACTGCAGTTAATGGCCAAACCAGTTTCCCTTGTAGTGTTAATGCAACATTGAGGATAAAGAGAGAGAATTGGGAAGTGAATTGTTTAATTCTATATCCATTAGTTTTCCATGAGCCCATTTTTAATTTCACCTGTGAAATAGACCAGGTCCAAAAATGCGGCCTACTAATGAGAAAATTGCTATGGGAATTTGCCAGTTATAAACAATAGGTGCAAGGGGAATTAAGAATATTTCCTATACACCATTTATCCTGGGTTGACCAAAAATGAGTTGGGTATACAGAACTGCAAAGATAATGTTTCATTTGTTTACCACATATATCTCTAGTTTACCACATATTTCTACAAGATTAAAAAACATTACAATTTTTAAATTAAAAAATGCTAGCCACATCTGCAGACTAGAGTAGAACTGCCCAGAATTCTATCATCTCAGTCTATCACATTTTGTGTATAGTTTGGCACAGAATCAAAGATTGCTTCATTGTGTGTGTAAACACAACTGGAGATATCCAATTACATTTTGCATCCTGGCCCTGTGCTTGATTGCAGATGAAGAACTGAACATGAGAAGATTCAACATGCAAAACTTGGAACTACGTTCATCTCTAGCTCCATGTATTTGTCAAAATGGAATAGAAGAACATAGCCATTATTCTTAAAAAAATAATATTTGGTGTATTTCTAGGAACTCTGTCTGAGAAGGGTCATTATTTCACAGACCTTGGAGTTAAAATTATTTGAAAAACGGTCTTCTTCAATATAGATCTATACATTCCACAGTGGATGCCTACTTTATTTTGCCACATCCTGCCGATGCTCATTTAAGGGTGCTGTGGAAAAGGGAAGGCTCTGCTGTGCACACACTGTGCGGAATGATCTCCTGTTGAGATTAGGCACGCTCTCAATAGAAAGAGCTTTGGCCAACAATTAAAGCCTTATTTCTTTGTTTGGATATTAAGATTACTGGCCTATTCTTTCTTGGATACGGATTCAAAAAGAATTCTACCACAGGTCCTGATGAACTTGAATGTTTTGCTAAGAGCAGATCCATGATGGGACAAGTGCTAGCAGGAACTAGGTCCTATTAACAGTTGTCAGAAAAAAATCAGTGTGGAAAGAGATGGAGATGACACTGATTTTTTAAAATGTACAGGCTGAATAAAAAGCCGCCCCAAACTTTTAGGACCCTTAAAGCAGCACTGGGCTCTTTACAGAATAAATATGAAATGACAGTACTCACAGAAAGGGAAGGGAAGGAAATGTTCCTGGCATTTCCATTACAGAGCCCTCCCTCCTTCCCATAGCAGCCATTACTGAAAACTCATCTTGCCTTGAGAGAAAACCTCTGACATTCAAACTGTTTTTCTCTGTTGCCTTCCCCTCATTCATTTATTACATAATTTTCCTGAAATGTATTGGATTAAATGTATGTGTGTGTACCATAAACACAATGAATGGTTTGATTTGAAAGAGTATACAGTGGTACCTCGGGATACGAACGCCTCTACTAACAAACTTTTCGGGTTACGACCAGCTCCGGCCGCAAAAATTTACCCCGAAGCGCG